GACGAGGACGAGTGGCGCTACGTCGTCACGGGCGAGACGCCGTCGACGGCGGACCCCATGGAGAGCGCCTGGGTCGGCTTCGCGGACAAGCGCGGCGACAAGGGCGCGGCGAAGTCGCGCAAGGACGAGGCGCGGCGGCGGACGCGCATGTCCGTCGCGAACCGGGGCCAGGACGCCGGCGCCGGGTCGTCGGCGAACCTGGGCGCGACGGGCGCCGCGGAGGTGGGCTGGTGGGTCTTCTCCGGGGATTTAAGGGAGCGCGCGAACGACGCGTCCACGCTGCCGGCGCTGGAGGAGCTGCCCGACTCCCTCGAGAGCGCGTCGAGCTTGCTCGAGTGGAACCGGGTCATCGAGTCCAAGTTCCCCCACAAGGAGGACTTCCCGCCGGCGTTCCGCGAGCTGACGCCGCTCCAGCGGCTCTGCGTGATCCGCGCGCTCCGCTTCGACGCGCTCACGGTGGCCCTGCGGGACTTCGTGAACGAGGAGCTGCGGGGCCACGACGCGGCGGTGACGCAGATCGCGGGCGACCGGGGGAGGTTGGCCCTCGAGGACGCGCACGAGGACGCGGCGCCGAACGACGGCGACCGCGACTTCGACAAGCTCGCGGGCAGCGGCGACGTGCCGCCGCCGATCCTGCTCAACCTCGCGGCGGACGCGTCGGACCCGGCGGAGACGCTCCAGGCCATGGCGAAGAGCGCGGGCGTGGCGCTCATCTCCGCGGGCGCGAACGGCGTCGACGCGGCCGCGGCGCTGCGGCTGATCTCGAACTGCGCCGCGGACGGCAGCTGGGTCCTGCTCCAGCAGTGCGAGCTCGCGGGCGCCGACTTTCTGCGCCAGCTCGCCTGGCACGTCTGCGACCAGCCGTCCGTGGGGCGGGGCATCGGCGGGCGCTGCGAGGACACGGCGCCGACGTTCCGGCTCTGGCTCACGGCGCGCCTGCCGGGCGGCGGCGCCGCGAAGCGCGACTCGCTCGCGGCGCTGTGCCTGCGGGCGCCCTTCGCCGACGGGACGCTGCGGCTGCCCGGGGCGCTGGCGAGAGAAGCGATCACGGTCGTCGTCGAGCCGCCGCGCGGCTGCCGCGGCGCGATCGCCGTCGCGTCGGAATCGGGTTTTCTGGACCGCGAGGCGCTGGGCGGGAGCGACGGCAACCGGGCGCGCCTGTTCCTGAAATGCGTTTTGGCCTTTGGGATCATCCAGGAGCGGCGCGCGCGGCTCGGCGCGCTCGGCTGGGTCGGCGGCGGCGGCCCGCGGCCCGCGCCCGGGTCCGTCGACGAGCTGCGGGCCGCCGCGTTCCACTTCGCGGCGGTCTGGCCCTTCACGGGCTTCGCGCCCAAGGCCGTCGTCGTCGTGCCCAAGGGCGGCAAGAAGCAAAGGGGGAGCCTGCTCAAGGCCGCGGGCCGCGTCGCGCGCGAGACGCGCGGGGGGCCCGGCGGCGGCGGCGCGCTCGCGGCCGTCGGTCTCGGCGGGCCCGCGGCGAACCCGCATCTGGCCGCGCTCGCGGACTGCGTCGCCGGCCCGGCCGTCGCCGGAAGCTCCGTGGCGGGCAACGAGGGCGACGCGCGCGTCTTCGCGGCCGTCGTCCGCGCGCAGCTTTTGGGCGACGGCGGCTACGAGCCTAGGAAGCCCTTGTTCGCCCTGCCGCCGGGCACGACGGACGTGCGCTGCCGCGAGTGGAAGACGCCCGAGGACCGCACGGGGCCCGGGCGGCCGCCGGACCGGTGCGCGGCGCGCGTCTTCGCGGCGGCCGCCGCGGTCGTGCCCGACGCGCTCGAGGGCGACGCCGTCGGCGGCAACGCGGCGATGAAGGTCGTGTCCAACGCTCTGGTGGCCGAGGACGTCTGCACGGCCATCGCGCGCCTCGAGGAGATCCTGGGCAACGCGGGCGCGGACGCGCTCCTGCTCAACGACACGCGGCTCGCGGCGATCTTGGACGAGCTCGAGGAGACGGTCGGCCGCGACTTCGGGTCCTGGTTGGACGCGGGGCACCACCGCGTGCGCGAGGACATGAAGGCGCTGACGGACGCGCGGCGGCGGCGGGACTACGACGCCGCGCTGGCCTACGCGCGGCGCACCAAAACCAAGAAGCCGCCGCCGCCGGAGTACGGCACGCCGCTCGACGACTGCTCGCCCTGGGACGTCATTTTGTTAAACGAGCGCCAGCTGCTCCGGCGGACGCTCGTGCGGGCGACGCGCGACGTCGCCGACGTGCGCGCGGCGCTGGCCGGCGTCGTCGTCCCCGGCGCGGACCGCGGCCGCCTGGGGGCCGTCGTCGGCGACCTGCGCGCGCTGAGCATCCCCGAGGCCTGGCGCGCCATGTCGGCGACGGTCTTGGTCGCCGACATCCAGGGCTGGCTCCGGGAGATGCAGCAGCGCTGCGCGACCTTCGACGCGTGGCTCGAGAACTGCGACCCGCCGGCGCCCTTGCACCTGCCGCACGTCGCGCGGCCGCGGCAGCTGTTCCTCGCGACGCGGAAGCGCGCGGCGGCGCTCTGGACGCTGCCCCTCGACGACGTCTGGCTCGACTCTTACGTGCCCCGGGACGGCGAGGACGCTGACTCCTTCGCCATCGACGAGGAGGAGCTCAACGCGCAGTTCGTGTCCTTCGAGGACGGCGACGGCGAGGTGCAGACCGCCGAGGCCGACGACGGCGACGGCGACGACGACGACGGCGACGACGACGACGACGACGACGAGGGCGAATCGGGGCCGTCGCGGCCGCAGACCGCGGGCAGCGGCGCGGAGAAGAACAAGAGCGACAAGGGGTCGCGGCCGTCGACGGCGGCGGACACGACGCGGCCGTCGACGGCGGCGGAGCCCATGCCCCTCGAGAAGGCCAATTTGACGCTGCACGTCGCGGGCGTCGTCCTCGAGGGCGCGCGCTGGGACGCGGACGCGCGGGGCCTCGCGGACGTCGACCGGCCGGACCAGCCCTTCTCGAAGCTGCCGCCCTTGGCCTTTGAGCCTCTCGCGGACGCGAGCTTCTCCGACGTCGACGACGCGCCGTTGCGCCAGTTCCGGCCGGGCGTCTACCGCTGCCCCATCTACGCGACGACGCTCCGGTCGCGGCAGCCCCTCTTCTGGGTCTACCTCGACTCGAAGCGGCCGTCGACGCCGCGCGCGCTCCTCCCGAGCGAGGCCGTCACGCGCCAGGAGCGCGCCGCGACGCACATCCTCGACCAGGAATTCTGGACCCTGCGCGGCGTCGCCGCCGTGCTCGCCGTGCCCGAGGGCGCGAGCGCGCCCGCGGACTACGACTAATCCGACCGTTACCGATCCCTGGGGGCTTTTGTCCGAGTCGTCGGAGTCGCCAGCCATGGGGTGTCGTCGGCGCGGCCCCGCGCGCTCAGAAGGGGCGGCCGAGGAGCCGGTCGAGCTCGCCCCAGTCGATGCCGACGAGGCAGGGCCCCGCGCCGGGGTTCGGGTTCGCGTCGAGCGGGTGGTCGATGAAGACGTTCTGCGACGGCGGGAGCACGCGGCCCGGGGGCTTGGGCGCCTTCGGGCCGCGGCTCGCCGGCCGGGGCGCCGCCGCCGCCGGCGCGGCGGTCGCGGCCGCGTCGATGCGCGGCGCGTAGGAGCCCTTGGCGCGCGCGAGGCGGTCCTTCCAGTCCTGGGCGACGGTGAAGCGGGCCTCGCCGAAGCCCTTGCCCGTGCGCGCGCCGCTCGCCTTCTTCGACGCCTCGCGCGCGTCGACGTGGGGCCGCGGCGCCGCGCGGCGCGGCGGCTGCGACCCGCCGTACTGGCCGAAGTCGCCGCCGAAGCCGCCGTAGTCCGGCGCGTCGAGGCCGTACTGGGGCCGGCCCTGGGGCTGGCGCGGGGCCTGGCGGCCGTAGTTGGGCTCGTAGAAGCCGCGCTGCGGCGGCTGCTGGGGCTGCTGGGGCTGCTCGCCGTACTTGGCCTGGACGGCCTCGGCCGCCATGACGTCGAACTCGTCCGCCTTGAACCGGAGGACCTCGTGCGACGCCGCGAGGAAGTCGTAGAAGGCGTCCTCGCGCAGCGCCATGCCCAGGCCCGTGCGGAGCTGCTTCGCCGAGGACCGCACGGTGCCCGGCGCCATCGTCGCCGCCGCGGCCTCCAGCAGACGCGGCGTCTGCTCGTCGACCCACTTCTTGCCGCGGCCCCGGCGCGCGCCGACCTTGTCGAAGAGCTTGATGATGAGCGCCGTCGCGATGGTGCCCGCCGTCGAGCAGCAGTTCCAGAGCGTCGCCGCCGTCTCCTGGAGCGCCATGAACGAGCTCGCGAACTCCGCGTCCTCGGCCTCGGCCTTGAGCCGCGCCTCGCGCTGCGCGTCCGTCTCCGCGGGCTCCTCGGGCTCGCCCTTGCTCTCCTCGAAGCCGTAGTCGTCGTCGTAGTCGTCGCCGCCCTTGGACTCCTCGACGCCGCCCTTGGGCCGCGGGGGCGGCCGCTCGGGTTCCGGGAAGTACTCGTCGTCGCTGCCGTCGTCGTACGCGTAGCCGTCGTCGCTGCCGTCGTCGCTGCCGCCGCCGCCGTCGTCGCTGCCCCGGCAGTCGAGCATGGCCCGGGCGAGGGCCAGGCCCTCGGCGTCGCAGGTCGACAGGTCGCTGAGCTGCTGCAGGAACTCGTCGGCCGTGCCCTGGGCGCTGATGGTCGTGAGCATCTCGATGCGCGCGTCCGTGTCCCGGCACACGGCGAAGTCGACGGGCGCGTTCTGGACCATGGTCATGGTAGGCAACAGTTACTTCTCGTCGCTGGCACGGCACGGCCCGGGCTGCTTGGCCCACAAACTCCGGGCGAGGGTCGGGGGTCGACGGCCGGCGACGTCGGCCTTTTCGGCGTCGGCGGTAGAGAGAAGTTGTCTATCGTCGTCGCTGGCACGGGCTGCTTGGCAAGCCGAGGGCAAAGGTGAAGAGGGGTCGGAGGAGCCGTCAACGCGGTGGTCGAGCAAAAAGCTCACGGTTGCAAACCTGTGCCCGCGCCGGCCTGTGCCCGCGCCGACGTCGCACCGACGCCCGCTCCGACGCGCCAACGCCCGCGCCGAGCTTACGATGGGTGTCATCGATGCGTCGGTCGTCGACACGCTGGGCCAGCTCCAGGCCCTCGCGCTCACGCTCGGGAGCGCCGCCCTCGAGCTCCCGCAGATCGTCGTGCTCGGCTCGCAGTCGTCGGGCAAGTCGAGCGCCATCGAGGCGCTCGTGGGCCTGAGCTTCCTGCCGCGCGGGTCCGGCATCGTGACGCGGTGCCCCCTGCTGCTCCACCTGCGGCCGCGCGAGGCCGGCGACGGCCGGGGCGACTACGCCGTCTTCGGCCACCGGACGGACGTGTTCCACGACTTCGACGCGGTCCGGCGCGAGATCGAGGACCGCACGGCGGCCGTCGCGGGGCCCGGCAAGGGCATCTGCGGCACGCCCATCGTGCTCCGCGTCCACGCGTCCGGCGCGCCGGCGCTGACGCTCGTGGACCTGCCCGGCGTCACGAAGGTGCCCGTGCGCGGCCAGCCCGACGACATCGGCGACACGATCCGCGCGCTCTGCCAGGCCTTCGCGGCGAACCCGCGGTCCATCCTGCTCTGCGTGTCCGCGGCGACGCAGGACCTCGCGAACTCCGACGCGCTCCTGCTCGCGCGCGAGGCGGACCCCTCGGGCGCGCGGACCATCGGCGTCCTCACCAAGGTCGACGCGATGGAGGACGGCACGGACTGCGCGCCGACGCTCCGCAACGAGCTGCTGCCGCTCAAACTGGGCTACGTCGCCATCGTCTGCCGCGGCCAGCGGGACCTGGACCGGGGCCTGTCGTTAAGCGAGAGCCGCGCGAAGGAGCGCGCGTTCTTCGCGGCGAAACCGGCCTACGCCGACGTGCCCGCGGCGTGCGGCGTGCCGCGCCTCGCGGCGAAGCTGTCCGCGCTCCTCGTCGCGGCGACGGTCGACGCCGTGCCCGCGCTGCGCCGAGAGTGCGGCCGCCACCTCGCCATCGCCGAGGCCGAGGTGGCGCGGCTCGGGGGCGACGAGCCGGACGGCGGCGGCGACGCGGGCCGCGACTGCCTGGAGGCGGTGCTGGGCTACGCGCAGGCCTACGTGGCCCTCGTGCGCGACGGCGCCGCCGACGACGCCCTGGGCGCGCCGGGGAGCGCCGGGTCCGGCGCCGCGCGCGTCGCGTTCGTCTTCGAGCGCGTCTTCTCGGCGTCGCTCGAGAAGGTCGACGCGTTGGACGGCGTGAGCGACGACGACGTCCGCGACGCGCTCGCGGCGACGCGGGGCGCCGCGCCGGCGCTCTTCGCCCCGGAGAAGGCCTTCTACTACGTCGTCCGCCAGCAGATCGGGCGCCTGCGGGAGCCGGGGCTCGCGTGCGTGGCGCTCGTCTGCGACGAGCTCGCGGCGTGCGCGCGGCGCGTCGGCGACGCGGCGCCGCGGTGCGGCCCGCGGCGCGTCGCGGCGCGGCGCCTCGCGCGCGCGCCGAAGCTCAAGGCCGCGATCCTCGACGCCGTCGCGGGCGTCGTCGGCGCCGCGCGCGCGCCCGCGCTGGCGAAAGTCGAGGATCTCGTCGACATGGAGCTCGCGCACGTGAACACGCGCCACCCGGACTTCCGCTCGGCCCTCGGCGACTTCACGGTGTCCATCGGCGCCCTCGTCGGCGGCGGCGGCGGCTTCTCCGACGACGAGGACGAGGAAGCGGTGGAGGCGCCGCCGCCCGCCGCGGAGAAGACGCCCGACGCGCCGCGCGGCTGGTTCGGCGCGCTCACGGACGCGACGCCGCCCAAGCCGGCGCCGCGCCGCGACCGCCGCGAGTCCTTCGTGCTCCGCGACGCGCCGCGGCGCGGCGGCGCGCCGAAGCCGCGGCGGCCGAAGAAGCTCGACGCGTCCTCCGAAGTCGACGCCGTCAAGGCGCTCGTCCGCGCGTACTTCTCCGTCGTCCGCAAGACCTTCTGCGACCTCGTGCCCAAGATCGTCATGACCCACGTCGTCGGTAAGGTCGAGGCGACGCTCCAGACGACGCTCATGGCCGACGTCTACGCGGGAGGGGACCACGCCGCGCTCCTCGCGGAGGACGGCGACGCGGCGGCCGCGCGCGCGCGGGCGCTCCAGGAGCGCGCGACGCTGCGCGGCGCCCTCGCGCTCCTCGACGCCGTCGAGCGCGCGCCGAAGACGCCGAAGCGCACGGAGGACAGCCTCGACGGCCTCGACGACGCGCCGAGCCCCGCGCTCCGCGAGGACCGGCGCAACACCATCACGGAGCGCCGCCGCAACCGGTCCCCGATGAAGGCCGCGAGCCCGGCGCCCCGCTTCGCGACGAGCCCGACGCCCCGCTTCAAGGAGAACGCCCGCAAGTACTAGGCGTCTTACATAACTCACGCCTCGCCGGGCTCCGGGTCCGCGTCCGCGCCGTCCAAAAAGTCCGTGAAGCACTTCATCTCCTCGGACGCGAGGCACGTGGCGAGCATGTAGAGGAAGGCGCCGCGGAAGACGAGCACCCAGAGCACGAACAGGCCCGGCAGCGACAGGAACCACCACAGATTCGCGCGCCGCCAGAGCGCGGGCGCGACGGTCCGCTCGAGCTGGTCCTCGAGCTCGCCGACGGTGCCCAGGTTCATGACGGGCACGTGCGCCCGCTGGAGCTTCGCGGCGAGGGGCATCTGCGCGTTGATCTTCGCCTTCGCGGCGGCCTCGTCGCAGCCGTCGCGCTCGACCAGACGCGCGAGCTGCTGGTCGCTGGAAGTACCGACGACGACGTAGCTCGCGCAGATGCTCGAGAGGCCCGCGGTCTCGAAGAGCAGCGGCGCGTCGAGGACGACGAGCCGCGTGCCCGCGAGGAAGTGGCCGAGGAGCTCGAGGCCCATCGCGCGCAAGATGTGGCCGCGCATCAGGACGTTCAGCTTCCTGCGCTGCGCGGCGTCGTTGAAGATGAGCGAGCCGAGCTTGCCGCGGTCGAGGCAGCCGTCGGCGTCGACGACGCCGGGGAAGCTGCGCCCGAGCTCGTAGACGACGCGCGTCCGGGGCTTTTGCAGGCGCCGCACGATCTCGTCGAGGTCCACGACGGCGATCTCCTGCCTGCGCAGCCAGGCGCTCACCGTCGACTTGCCGCAGGCGATGCCGCCGGTCAAGCCGACTATCTTCATTGCGGTGTTGTGCGCGGCGGCGACGGCACAGTGTGTCGAGCTTGCGATGCTGTGGCAAAAATTGGCAAAATGTTTCGAGGTGAACCATAAATAAGCAGCCCAAGTTTACCTGGGTCGGCCTCGTCCTGGACGCTGTACACTGCGCCGAGGGTCCGCTACCGGGGCTCGAATCGATGGCGATTCCCCTGGGCGACATTACCAAGGCCATGGAGAAGTCCCTCGAGCGGCGCGCGTGCGATTTGTGCGCGCAGCAATCGCCGCTCACGGTCAAACCGCTCCAACTCTGCGGTCGCTGCGGCGGTCGTCGATATTGCTCTGTCGAGTGTCAACGCATGGATTGGCCGCGGCACAAAGCCCGGTGCGCCAAGCGCCCCTCGGCTGGCCCGAACAAGGAGCCCCTGCGCACGAAGGCCGACCGTGACCACGACGCGAAGGTGCGCGCCGACGAACAGGCGATGGCGATGGAAAGTCTGCGCTCTAAGCGGCCCAGTGACGTCAACCATCTAGGATGCCTAGCGACCAACAATATGGCAGCATATATCAGCGACGAGAATCCGACGCCCATGGGGATTAAGGCCCTGGCCGGGACTGGCCTCCGCGAACGAGTCGCGTCAGGCGAGCTGAGCAGCGCTGGGCTTGGCGCCCATCTTTACTGTGCTCGATCGAGGTTTGTCCATGAGACTTTCATCGGTGTCGTGCAGTTGATGGATCAGCATCGCGCAGGCGCGCACGTGACCTTTTACCTCATGATGTTTGCCCGCAACGAACCCAGTTGGACCCGGGAGTACGCCGCTTTGACGGCTCTCTTCAATCGCGCGATGGCGGGGGAGGTACCGGGGTGCCGCGAGTTGGTTTTGCAACTCTTGCGCTCTCGCGTACGCACGCCTCCCGCCCCCTAACACCCGAGGTCTCCTGTACAGTTAAGCTGGGGGAGCGCGCGGCGGCCCGGGGCGTCCGGCGCGCGGTCCCGCGGTCGATGGTCGATCGGAGGGCGCGGAATCACCGGGCCTTGACCTGCTCCGCCGCGGCCTTGTCGATGTTGCACTTGTCCATGAAGAAGCAGTCGTGGATGAGCTTCAGCGCGCGGTCGGCGTCCGCGTCGAGGAGCACGAGCGAGATGTTGACCTTCGACGCGCCCTGGCTGAGCATCTCCACGGCGATGCCGTTGGAGAAGAGGACCATGAAGACCTTGGCCAGCAGCTCCGTGGACCGCGTGACGTCGGCGATGAAGGAGACGATGGCGCGGTCGCGCTTGACGTCGACGTAGGCGATCTCCTCGAGCTGCGCGCGGCCGTCGCGCGACAGGTCGCCGCCCTTGCGCTCGAGCGTCAGGGACACGGAGACCTCGGACGTCGCGACGACGTCGACGGAGACGCCGTCGGCCTCGAAGACGTCGAAGATGCGCTTGAGGAAGCCCGCCTGGCCGAGCATGCGCGTGGAGGAGACGTCGACGAGCGTCACGGACCGCTTCGACGTGAGCGCGGTGAGGAGCGGCGCCTCGGCGCCGGCCTTGCGCCGCGCGGCGGCGATGGTCGCCTCGTCGCCGATGAGCGTGCCCTCGTGGGCCGGGTTGTAGGAGTTCTTGACGCGCACGGGCACGCAGGCCTTGGACGCCGGCAGCATCGAGATCGGGTGGAGCACCTGCGCGCCAAAGTAGGCGAGCTCCGCCGCCTCCTCGTAGGTCACGTAGGGCACGGGCACGGCCTCGGGGATGACGCGCGGGTCCGCGGACATCATGCCGTCGACGTCCTTCCAGACCTGGACCTCGGCGTAGAAGTCGCGCTCGGGCTCGTGCCGGAAGCACGCGCCGAGCACCGTCGCCGTCAGGTCCGAGCCGCCGCGGCCCAGGGTCGTCACGCGGCCCTCGGCGTCCTTGCCGATGTAGCCCGTGACCACGGGCACCTCGTCGCGGTCCCGGACCATGGACCGCAGGCATTTCGCCATGTCGGGGTAGCAGCCCTCGTCGACGGTCGCCTCGCCGAAGGCGCCCGTGGTCCGCAGCCCGAGCTTCCAGGACTCGCAGGGCACGGCCTTGATGCCGTGGGCCTCGACGAGCTGCGCCGCCAAAATCCGCGAGCTCATGCGCTCGCCGTACGACACGAGCAAATCCTTCGTCCGCGGCGTGAGCTCGCGGACCATGGACACGCCGTCGAGCAGGGACTCGAGCTCGCGGAGCAGGGCGCGCACCTCGTAGCCGCAGGACGCCGGCAGCGCCAACGCGTCGAGCGTCTCGAGGTGGAGCGCGCGCAGGTGGTCGATGCGCACGCGGCCCTCCGCGAGCGCCTGCCGCCCGGCGGCCTCGATCTCGTTCGTCGTCTTCCCCATGGCGCTGAGCACGATCGTCGGCACGATGCCCTCGTCCATGCGATCTGCGATGAGCTTCGCCACGTGCTCGATGCGCTCCGCGTTGGGGACGCTGGACCCGCCAAATTTCATAACGACCCGATTCTTGCTCGCCGCGGCGGCGGCGGCGCGGGCTTCGGCCCAGTCCCCGGCGGCATTTAAAACACGGTTCGTCCGGATGGACGTCACGGGACCGCGCAGCGCGCTGGCGACCCCGACGAGGAGGATTTTAAGTCGCCACATCTCCTGCCACAGAGGAAGTCGTCGTTGAACCGTCTAGCCTCCCTCTTCGCTATTCGAGTTATTCGCATCATCGTGTCCGCCGTACGCGTCCGCGGCGCCCCTAAGCCTGGTTCCTCCCTAGCGCCCTCGCATCGCAGTCCTATCCGAATCAGCGCCCAAAAAACAGGAGCACCAGACCTTAGCCCGGCGGCGGCGGCGGCGCGTTCGCGCGGAGCGCCTTCGCGAGGCGCTCGAGGTCCGCCATGAGGTCCGTCGTCGCCTTGAGCACCGCCGGCGGCGGCGCCTGGCCCTTGGTCTCGAGGACCTTGAGGTAGGCGACGAACGCGTCGGCCGCGTCGGCCGTGAGCACGAACTTGGGCCAGTCGTCCGCCGCGGCCTCGGCCGCGCTCCGCGACGCGACGGCGCGCGGCAGGAGCGGGTAGTCCGCGCGCGCCATGGCCACGAGCGCCCGGCGCCGCATGTTTCCGTCGCAGGCGTCGTCGTCGACGGACGGCCGCGCGAGCGTCGCGCGGACGTCGCGCATGCGGTCGACGTAGTAGGCCATGGCCTGCACGGTGCGCCGCCGCGCGTCGCCCGGCGGCACGGCCTCGCCCTCGAGGGCCTCGGCGAAGCCGAAGACCGCGCGCTCGTAGTACTTGAGCACCGCGCGCCTCCCCGCGCCGTCCGTCTCGAGCGTCTGCGCGTCGAGCTTCGACGCGATCTGCGCGTGGCGGTTCGCCTCCATGGCCTTGCCGCGCGCCTCGGACCGCGCCGCGAGCGCCGACCGCCGCGCCGCCTCCTCGTCCGCCGCCTTGGACTCGTCGGCGGCGCCCGCGAGCACCTCGGCCAGCGCCGCCTCGGCGGCGGCGTCGTCGACCTCCATGTTGCTCATGGCCACGCCGCTGGCCGATGGGGGCCAGGAGCTCGTCCATCGCGTCCTTGTCCATTCTGACGGCCACGAACGCAGGCTCGGACGGCCGCGAACGACGGGCCCAGACGCGCCTCAGGCTCTCCTTCTCATTGATCGCATCGATCATGCAGTGCAAGGTCCGGGATATTGAAGGCAAAGTCGATTCCGCCAACACACCTCGAGGCTGTTATCGCGCCCCGCGGCGCCGCGCGGTGCGTGCGCGGTCACTGGACGCAGGACTCGTAGGCGGGGACCATGTACTTGATGTTGACGAACGCGTTGGGCCCGCCCGTCTTCTCGAGGAGCTCGAGCGTCTCGAGGACGGCCGTGCCCAGGTCCGTGCCCTTGCGCTGGCCGTAGAAGATGGCGTCGCCTAAATTCTGGCGCTTCGTGAAGAACAGATTCATGACGGAGAGGAGCTGGCGGTAGAAGGGCACGAGCGCCTCGCCGACGCCGTAGTTCGAGAGCACGATCTTCTGGAGCGCGCGGAGCGCGGCGTGGACGATGTCCGGGTCCTTCGTGTTCAGCGCGAGGCGGATGGGCTTGATGAGGTCCGGCAGGCAGGGCAGCACGCAGTCCGGGAAGCCCTTGGCCTCCTCGATGAGCTCGTCGAAGCCCTGGCGCGCGACGAACTGGTACGGCGACTCCGTGCACCGGATGCCGTCCAAGAAGATGGGCAGGTAGTGCTCGTAGTCGAGCTGGAGGAGCGGGCAGATCCAGGACAGGTTGTTCCCGGAGCCCCGGTGCTCGATGGAGCAGGGCAGCTCGCCGCGGCGGTAGCGGATCGGGAACATGGTGGCTTCGACCTTCGTTTTTCGGAAGACGCCCGCGACGGGGCCCTTGAAGGGCCGCCGCTCGCGCACGGCCTCCTCGAATTCCTGGGACTTGACCGTCTTCCTCAGGAGCTGGCGCATGCGCAGGCTCTCGGCCTCGCCGCCGCGCTTGAGCCGCGGGTTCACGATGGAGCTCGGGAGCTCCGCGCGGTGGAACGTCGTCGGCCGCTCGCGGCGCCGCCGCGGCGCCGCGTAGGTCTCGCCCGCGGCGGCGGGTTGCGGCTCGGGCGCCGCGAGGGACCGCGACTTGGACGCGCGCATCTTCTTCGCGAGGAGCGACGACGTGCTCGAGCAGCGCTCATCCAGCAGGGCCATCTGCTGGAGCAGGAGCTGCTTCCGCTGCGCGAGCTCCTGCGCGTCCCCGTGCGCGGGCAGGGACCGCATGGTTCCCAGGGACGGCGCCGCGAAGGCGCTTTCAACGAGGCGAACTTCGAGAAGGCGACGGCGCGGCTTGCGGTCCGCGACGATCCGTCGGCGCCGAAGTCCGCGCAGTCCGGCCCGGCGAAGAAGAGGGGCGGCAACAGCAAGCAGCAGGACGGCGGCCGCGGGCGCCGCAGGGCAGCCCGGAGGAGCACGGACCGCCGGGAGCCCCAGCGCAGCGCGTATCGGTACGAGGAGAAGATGGATACCACACCTCAAGATGCAGTCTCAGTCGCGGCATCGCCGCCTCTGCGTCGACAAGAGCGTGCTGCTTCCTGCTTCGCCTGCAAGCCCTGTAGCAGTGCCATGGCGCCCCGGTCCCTGCTCGCCCTGCTGGCCCTCGCGGCCAGCGCCGGCGCGCTCAACGTCGTGCGCAACAAGAACTTCGGCAAGCTCCAGGGCGGCTACCTCTTCCCCGAGATCGGCCGGCGCCGCACGGCCTTCGCCGAGAAGAACCCGGAGCTCGCGGAGAAGATCATCAGCCTGGGCATCGGCGACACGACGAAGCCCATCCCCGAGCACATCCTGTCGGGCCTCGTCAACGGCGCGAAGAAGCTCGGCACCGTCGAGGGCTACAGCGGCTACGGCGCGGAGCAGGGCAAGGGCGACCTCCGCGAGAAGATCGCCGCGTCGTGCTACGGCGACCGCGTCAAGGCGTCCGAGGTCTTCGTGTCCGACGGCGCCAAGTGCGACATCAGCCGCCTCCAGCTCATGTTCGGCTCCGATGTCGTCTCCGCCGTGCAGGACCCCTCGTATCCCGTCTACGTCGACACGTCCGTCATGATGGGCCAGACGGGCGAGGTCAACAAGGAGACGGGCCAGTTCGACAAGCTCGTCTACATGCCCTGCGCCGCCGCCGACGACTTCTTCCCGGACCTCGCCAAGGTGCCGCGCGCGGACGTCTACTACTTCTGCAGCCCCAACAACCCGACGGGCGCGGTCGCGACGCGCGCGCAGCTCGAGGCCCTCGTGGCCCGCGCGCTGAAGGACGGGTCCATCCTCGTCTTCGACGCCGCCTACGCGCCCTTCATCCGCTCCGAGGGCACGCCGACGTCCATCTTCGAGATCGAGGGCAGCCGCCAGTGCGCGATCGAGGTCAACTCGTTCTCCAAGTACGCGGGCTTCACGGGCGCGCGCCTCGGCTGGACCGTCGTGCCCGACGAGCTCACCTACTCCGACGGGTCCTCGGTCCGCGACGACTTCAACCGCGTCATGACGACGGGCTTCAACGGCGCGTCGAACATCGTCCAGGAGGGCGGCATGGCGTGCCTCGACCCCGAGGGCAAGAAGGAGATCGACACGCTCATCGACTACTACCTCGGCAACGCGGAGATCCTCCGCGGCCTCGCCGACGACCTCGGCCTCGACCACTACGGCGGCGTCGACTCGCCCTACGTCTTCGTCGACCTCAAGGGCCACAGCTCCTGGGACACGTTCTCGACGATCCTCGAGGAGGCGCAGGTCGTCACGATCCCCGGCGCGGGCTTCGGCCCGGGCGGCGAGGGCTACCTCCGCTTCTCCGCCTTCGCGCCCCGCGAGGCCTGCCTGGAGGCCCGCGAGCGCATCTCCAAGATCGACATCTTCAAGGGCCAATAGGCGCGCGGCCTCGCCGGCGCGCCGCCCCAAGCAGCCCGAGCAGCGCCGCGGCCCCGCGTAAGACCTTAGACGAAGCGCGCCGCGACGTCGTCGGGCGCGTCCTTCGTCTCCTCGTCGTCCGCGGCGACGGCCGCGCGCGACGGCGGCGCCGCCGCCCGCCGGTTCACCTCCGCGACGGCGAGCGACGCCGCGACGGCCGTCGCGACGACGATGCCCGCGAGGGCCTCCATGGTCGCGGCCCAGGCGCCGTAGGCGTCGTCGCCGTGGTCGTGGGCGATCTTCCCCGCGCCCAGGGCCCAGAGGGACGACGCGACGAGGCCGAACGTGTCGAGGATGGACGACGCCGTCGCGCAGTCGTCGCGGCCGCCGACGTCGAGCGCGAAGACGTTCGGCGTGATGTAGAAGGTCACGGCGACGCCGACGGCGAGGCAGAAGAGGCAGGGCAGCACGAGCGCCGGCGGCGCCCCCGCGCCGTGCCGCGCGAGCGCGGCGAGGACGAGCGCGGCGGCGAGCGAGACCGACAGCAGGGCCAGCTCCGCGAGGAGGCGCCGCCGCCGCTTCGCCGCCGGGTCCGCGGCCGAGGCCTCGAGCCTCGCGAGGAGGGGCGGGGCCGAGAGCACGCAGGAGAAGAGGCCCAGCGGGAAGATCGTCGCGGCCATCGTTACCTCCGCCGGGCTCAGGTCCGTGAGGTCCGTCAGCAGCAGCGGCACGAGCGAGTCGAAGGCCGACACGCAGGTCGCGCCGGCCATGACGACGCAGTAGAGCAGCAGCGCGCGGTCGCAGGCGAGGCGCGCGACGCGCGACCGCGCGCTCTCGCGCGCCGCGGGCTTCTCGGGGCCCGGCGGCTCGAGGAGCGCGCCGCCGTCGTCGCCCGGCGCCGCGCGCCGCTTGCCGTCGAGCGGGAGCAGGAGCCCCACGGCGCCGCAGAGGCCCAACCCCACGCCCGCGGCCGCAAAGGCCACGGCCTGCCAGTCGAGCGCCGCGAGGAGCGCGCCCAAACCCAACTTCGACGCGATGGAGCCGACGCGCGACGCCGCGGAGAGGATGGCGAAGCAGGACGTCCAGGCCCGCTTCCCGAAGGCGTCGTGGATCACGCGGCACCCCACGAGCCAGCCGGCGCTCGCCGCGTACTGCAAAACGACGAACGCCGCGAACATGACCGCCGGCCGCGTCGTCGCCGCGAACGCCGCGCACGCCGCGACGCCGACGGCCAGGAAGACGCGCGCGCACCGCCGCGCGCCGTGGGCGTCCACGAGCAGGCCGTTGCCCAGCTTCCCGAGGGCGTTCGCCGCCGTGCCCGCGGAGAAGGCGACGTTGAGCGACGCGTTGCCGAGGCCGCGCACGCGGCCGTCGGCGAGGAGCGCGGGCACGACGGCCGTCGGCACGGCGAGCAGGAACTGGAGGCTCCCGTGGGGCACGAAGTAGGCCCCGTGCGCCAGCACGCGCCGCAGCTTCAGGCGCAGGAGCCGCCCGCCCCGGCCGCCGCCCGACGGCTCCGCCTCCCGGCCCCCCATGGCCTCCTCCGGCCCGTCCAGGGTCCGCTTCTTCCACAGGCCTCGCGGGCTCAGGCGCGCGTCGCGGTGCACTGGGCTCCCGGCCGGGCTCCCCCGCGCCGGCGACGGCGCCAGCGTACGACACGCGCGGGCAGCCCCGAAGGAGTGGCGCTCTCAAGCCTTCAAATTGGCTGCAATAGCCCATCAACATCGGCCAGACCGGTGGATTATGAGCGCTTGAAACCCCGAAGCCAATGAGCCCGCTCAAGGGCCTGAAAGCGCGTTTGCAGGAGCGCGATTCGCCGTCGAAGCCGCCCGCGCCGGCGCCAGCGCTCGATGCGGACTTGCCGGCGGCGCCGACCAAGGCGCCGGAAGCGCCCGCGCCGCCCGCGCCCAGCGCGGCGGCCTCCGTGACCGTCGCCGCCCACGTGCGGCCCTGGGTCGAGGCCGTCGACGGGCCCGACGGCGGCGACCGCGGCTGCAGAGTCGTGAGCGCCACGGGCGTGCGCGTCTTCGCCGGCGGCGGCGGGCCCGGCCGCGGCTTCCGGCTGCACGCGGCCGTCGACGCCGCGGCGGCCGACGACTTCTACGACCGCGTCTGCCGCGGCGTCGCCGCCGTCGCGGCGTCGGGCGGCCGGGGCGCGCTGGTCCTCTACGGGGCCACGGGCTCCGGGAAGACGCACTGCGCGAGGGCCGCGCAGACGCGCGCCGCGCGGCAGCTGATCGCCGAGACCGGCGGCGCCGTGGGCGTGTCCTTCCTGGAGACCTGCGGCGAGCGCTGCGGCGACCTGCTGCGGCACCGCGCCGCGGTGCCCCTGCGCGCGGACGAGGCCGGCGACATCCAAGCCGCGGGTCTGAAGGTCGCCGAGTGCGCCGACGGCGACGCCTTCGACGCCGCGCTGGCCGAGGCGAACGCGCTCCGCGCGACGGCGGCGACGGAGCGCCACGCGGAGAGCTCGCGGTCCCACGCGGTCTGCGACCTGATCTGCGCGAACGGCGGCCGCCTCCGCGTCGTCGACCTCGCCGGGAGCGAGCGGCTGCGGGCCGGCGCCGCGGGCACGGACGACGCGCGCCTCCGCGAGGCGCGGGACATCAACGCGTCCCTCGCGTGCCTCACGGAGTGCCTGCGCGCGCGCCTGCTGCGGGCGTCGGGCGGAAAGGCGACGCACGTGCCCTACCGCCGGTCCAAGCTCACGATGCTGCTGAAGGACTGCTTCGACGGCGACGGCGCGACGGCGTTCGTGGCCGTCGCGTCGCCGGCGCCGGCCCGCGCGGCCGAGTCGAAGCGCACGCTCGACTACGCCGCGGCGACGCTCGAGGCGTCGCAGCTCGACAAGGAGCGCGAGACCTTCAAAGGCCCGGAGAGGTGGTCGCCCGCCGCCTGCGAGAAGTGGTGCGCGGCGCTGGACGGCGGGAAATACGCGCACCTCGCGCCGGCCTTCGCGAAGAGCGGCAAGACGCTCGCGACGATCTACCGCGGCGACCTGCTGCGCCAGGTCGAGGCTCTCGGCGGCTCCGAGCGCGACTGCGAGCACCTCTACGACACCTTCAAGGCCCTCGTCAAGGACGCCAAGCGCAAGAAGCCCGCGCGGTCCGCGCTCGGCAAGGCCGCGGACCGCGACGCCGCTCTCCTGGAGAAGAACAAGGACCGGGCGACGGCGTCCGACATCTACGGCGCGGCGACGGGCGAGCTCGACTTCCTCGCCGCCAAGCACGCGGCCCTCGACCTGAAGGAGGGCGCGTAAATTTCTTCGTTTTGATGAACATGCCCCGCCGGTGATGAGCACTTTTTGACCCCGATTGGTTAGCAGCAGGGTGCTGGGGCGCGTTCCGCTGGTGCTGTTTTCCTTGTTGCTTGCCTTCCGGGCGCTGCTTTCCTTGTTGACGTACAAGGCCAGAGGAAAATGTCATTACGGCGACCCCGGCTCGCGTTGCGCGGGCGGCGGCGGCGCGACGTCGAGCACGTCCACGAGGTCCGCTTCCACGGCCCGGGGCCGGTCGGCCCGGGGCCGCAGGCACAGGCGGCAGGCGCTCTCGAGCACGGGCGACGCGTGGACCACGGCCGCCGCCGGCCGGTCGCCCGCGCGCGCGCGCGCGGCGATCGCGTCCGCGCCGAGGCCGCGCCAGGGCGCCTCGCCCGTGCGCAGCTCGAAGAGGCAGACCCCGAAGGAGTAGACGTCGCAGCGCGTCCAGTCGTCCAGGGCCATGCGGCTCGGCGACCGCGGCGACCCCGGCGGCGGCGGCGGCAGCCGCGGGTCCTCCTCGGGCGGCGCCGCGTCGCCGCGCGGCGGCGGCCTCCGCCCGTGGAGCTCCGGCGCCATCCAGGCGAGCGTGCCCACGGGCCGCTGGTAGCGGTCCCCGGCCTTGTCCCCACAAAAGGACGCCGCGAGGCCGAAGTCGCAGAGCTTGGCCGCGCCGCCGGGCGCGAGGAGCACGTTGTCCGACTTGACGTCCCGATGCGCGACGCGCCGCGCGTGCAAAAAGGCAACAGCCGACGCGACGTCGCGGGCGATGCCGAGCACGTCCGACGGGTCCCGGGCCGCCCAGGCCTCCCGCGGCCGGCCCGCGTCGTCGTGAATAGCCTCGAAGAGGCTGCCGAGCCCCAGCTCCAAGACGATGCCCGGGTGCTCCGGGCCGTCGCGCCAGCCGAAGACCTCGGCGACGCGCGGGTGCCGCAGGCCCGCCATGAGCTCCGCCTCGCGCCGCAGGTCCCGCAGCTCGCGCTCGCCCGCGGTCCGCGGCGACTTGATCGCGACGTCCGCGCCGTGGAACGCGCCGCGGTAGACGACGTTCGCGCCGCCCTCGCCCAGCAGCGACGACGTCGCGTGGACGGCCGTCGCGCCCGCCGCCAGGGTCTCGATCTCCTCAAACCCCAGGAGCGCCGACGCGCTGCCGGCCGACGACCAGACCGACCGCGACGCCCCGGTCCCCCAGGGCTGCACGGACGCCGTCGCGCCGTCCGACCGGTCGTCCGGCGGCGCGTCGACCTCGTCGGCGACCTGCTCCGGCTCGCGGAAGACGTGGACGTAGCAGGCCGCGGCGACGAGCGCCGCCCAGGTCACGTAGAAGAGGCTGCGCTGGCGCTTCTCCCACTTCCAGTCGTTTTCCGACGCTCGCAGGATTGCGGGTGTCGCGAGCGGCGTCGAGATGCCCGTCTGGAGCTGCCGGTGCCGCGGCCATAACGCGGAAGCGGGCGCAAAAATGCAGACGACGACGCAGAGGCGCGCCATCAATCCGAGTTTCGGCTGCACACCTCGCCACATCGGCTCGTGACCGAGAGATGACCGAGCCAAATTTAATCGAGCCGTGCTGCCGGGGGTCTTTTCCCCCGGCCAAGAAGTCTGCCCTCTCCGTCCAACAAAACACGCCATTACCTCCGGCTGCTCGGCACGCTCCCGACGAAGTCGAGGATGGCGGCCTCGCGCTTGGACAGCTTCGCCGCGGCGATGAGCGGCGCGCGCGGCGCCTCGGGCCGCGGCCGCCGCGGCTCCGCGGGCCAGGGGTGGTCCGGGCCGAGCTTCCGCTTCTTTTTTTGCTTCTCCTCCGGCTTGGCCTCCTCCGCCGCGGGCTTCTTCGCCTTCTTCCGCTTGCTCGGCTTGAGGTCGTCGGGGAGGTCCGCGCCCGGCGCGAGACCCCGCAACCGCCAGAGCCGCGCGGCGCGCTCCTTGAGGCTGCCGCCGGCCTTGGCGCCGCGGCGCGCCAGCGCGCGCTTGAGCGCGTCCAAGCCCAGGTCCTCGAGCGCCTCGGCCGACGCGAACGCCGCGAGGTCGATCGCGCGCGGCGGCGGCGCCGCGGCCTCGGCCTCGGGCGCGGCGCGCCACCGCGCGCCGATGGTGAAGCTGCCGCCGCCCTCGTCGCGCGCCGCGACGTGGCCGCCGCGCAAGCCGGCGATGGAGTGGAGCTCCGCCTCGTCGGCCTCGGCGTCGCCGCGGATCGCCGCCTCGATGTCGGCCGGCGTCAGCGGATCGACGGGCTCCGGCGCATAGTTGTCGAGTCCGTGCGCTATTGCTTGTTCCCGCAGCAGGCGCTCCGTCGCGTCCATGACACACAGGCCCGCGGAGCGGCGTCTCCTCGAGGAGCACGAGGAGGCGCCCTGCGGCCAAGGCCTCGAGGTCGGGAGTGCGGCAAGCCAGCCCCTTGGTCCGTTGAGGCCGTCTCGAAGATCAGCCCGGCTCGACCCCCGGGGGGCTGGCGGCAAGCCCTCTGGTTGCCGCAAAGATGCCGTGCGCAGCGCGTACTACACGGGCCGCCTACCAGAAGACCAAAGAGCGTCGTTAGCGCGCCGCCGAGGGCTGGGCGAACCCCCGGAAGTTGCCCCGCGCGCGGGCCTTCGCGTAGTCCGCGCCGCGGTCGCCGCGCGTGCGCTGCTCGAAGGCGACGTACTCGCGCCAGATCTTCGGGTCGCCCCCGCAGGTGCGGATGCCGTCCTCGAGCAGGGCCCGCGCGCGGTCCGCCTCGCCGAGGTTCGCCTCGAAGCGGGCCCAGGCCGCGAAGGTCGCCGCGTTCGCGGACGCGTCCAACGCTTTGCGGAACGACGCGCGCGCGCCGTCCGCGGCGGCGTCCCAGGGCGCCGCGGGCAGCAGGTCGTCGTCGGTCAGCGCGGCCGCGCCGTCGGGGTGCACCCAGGCGTCCTGCTTGAGCGCCAGCGTCGCGTTCGCCTCGAGCTCGCCCTTGGCGCGGTGGAGCTTGGCCACGTCGTCGGGACGCGCGACGCCGGAGCAGCCCCAGATGCCCTGCTGCAACAAGTCCGACGCGAGTTCGACGTCGCCGCGCCGCGCCTCCATGGTCGCCCACTTGTAGTAGGCCGGCGCGTGCGCGCGGTCCACGGCGACGGCGCGCCGGAACGCGTCCGCGGCCCGGTCGCAGTCCAGGAGGTCCCGCTGGAGCACGTCGCCGAGCGTCGCGTAGACGTTGCCGTCGCGGCAGCCCCCGGGGCTCAGCCCGCCGGCGCGCGTCGCCATTGCCAAGAGCTTCGTCGCGCCCGTCGCGTTGCCCGCGCGCGCCTCCGCCGCGGCCCACGCGGTGAAGACGCGCGTGTTCGACCGGTGCGCCCTGCGGGCGACCTCGTAGAGCTCGCGGGCCCGCGGGAGACCGAGGCCCCGGCGCTCCTCGAGCTGGGCCCAGGCGACCCAGGAGCCCGCGTTCCGCGGGTTCGCCGCGCACGACGCGTTCAGGAGGGCGCGCGCCTCTTCGACGTTGCCGAGCCGCGCCTCCAGATCCCCAAAGGCCGACAGCGCGAAGTAGGACCGCGGCTGGGCCTCCAGCGCCTTCGCGTAGCACCGGCGCGCCTCCTCGACGCGCGCGAGGTCGCCGCGCCGCGGGCCCTCGGCGAGCGAGTTCCAGTTGGCGCCCGCGAGCCAGTCCTCGTCGTCGCGGCCCCGGCGCCGCCGGTCCCGGCCGTCGAGCGGCAGGGGCGCGTCGCGCACGTCCCGCGTGAGGAGGCGCGCCATGGCGACCCAGGACGCGCCGTGGCCCGGGTCGTAGTCCACCGCGAGCTTGAGCTCCGCGAGTGCGTCGTCGCGCCGGCCGCGCCGCTCCAAAAGCACCGCGTAGGCCTGGCGCACGTAGGCGTTGGACGGGTCGAGCTTCAGCGCTTCCGAGAGCAACGCCCCGGCGCCCGCGGCGTCGCGCTTGCGGAACTCGAGGTCGCGGCTTAAAGCGATGTACGCGCGTCCGTCGTAGCGGTCGACGTCGACGCACCGGCGCCAGAGCGCGCGCGCCTCGCGGAGCTGGCCCCGCCGCAGGGCCCGCTTCGCGCGCCAGTTCAGCAGGTCGGCGTTGATGGGCAGGGCCCGGGGCCGCCGCTTGCCGCCCTCGAAGAACGCGCCCTCCCTTTTGGCGCCGGGCCCGGGCACCTGGATCTCGAGCGAGTTCGCGAGGAGCGACTGCTGGACCTTCTTCGTGAGCGTCTCGAGGTAGCCGCCGTCGGCGCCCTCGGCGGCGGACCCGCGCGGCGCCGTCCACTGGGTCAGCATGGGCGGCCGGGCCCGCGTCCGCCGCGCCTTTGAGGTTGGCGGGTTGGGCGCCTCGACGCCCCGCACGCCGAGCAGGCGCCGCGGATGCTTCGCCGCGCTGTGCTGCGGCGCCCAGCCGGAGGCGACCGCGAATGTCAGGAGGGCCAGCAGCGCCCGGCGGCGGCCGAGGAATGGCCGCATTGAAAACAGCTCAGGTCGCATCGCTTCAGCCCGATCCACCCTGCAACTCCACGAGCGAGGTAAAGGTGCCGTCTTGTCCTGCGCGTGCAGTTTTTGGATGCCTCAGGTTCACACAGCTGCCCCATCTGCAGTGGGCAGATCTTCGGGCGTATGCGTGACCTTTTTTGAGAAACCATGGTGGTGTCCGGCTGGGCCTCGACGGTCTTCGGCGCCGCGCGGGCGTCGCCGGTGAAAGCAACGCCCCCACCACCCAAAGAGCCCGACTGGGATCGGTATTTTCGCGCCCTGGGCGACGTCGACGAGCCGATGCCCTGCCGCCTCATGCGGGCGCCGTCGGTTGAGAGCGAGCCGCGGACGACGTCGGTCGAGAGCGAGCCGCGGACGACGACGATCCTGCTGGACGACGGCGCGCTCGAGGGCTTCTCCGAGGCCGGCTCGGACACGTCCTGCGGCGCCGAGGTCTTCGCGCCGAGCCCGCGGGGCCTGGGCGCCAGAAAGACGGCGCCGCCGGCGCGGTCGGACGCGGTCTTCGCGCCGAGCCCGCGCGCGCTGGGCGCCGCGAGGCCGTCGCCGCGCAGGGAGGCGCCCCGCGGCTCCTTCGACGAGGTGAACGCGGCCCGCGACCGACTCGAGGTCCACGACGTGAAGACGCGGGACGAGGCGGAGGACGCCTTCGCGCACTGCGGGCCGACGATCTTCGAGGAGGACGACGCGTTCGCCGTCCCCCAGAACTGCGCGTCGCCGCTCTTCGGGCGGCTCCTCTCGGACGCGGGCCTCTCGGACGACGGCGACGCCGCGGCCGCTCCGGAGCTCGACGGGCGGGCCTCGCCGCTCTTCGAACGGCTCTTCTCGGACGACGGCGACGGCGCGCGACGGCCGGAGGTCGACGGGCGGGCCTCGATCGGCTGCCTCGGCGCGGCGCCGCCGAGTCCGCCCCGCGACGACCTCCTCTTCGAGGAGTCGGGCTGCAGCTTCGCCAAGGACGACGAGGGGCTGCCAAACGTGGGCTGCCTGTCGCGGTCGCCGCGGCCCGCGTCGCCGCCCGCGCCGCCGGACGCGCGCGAGTACGCCGCGACGCCGCCGCCGATCCGCAAGGGCGGCCTCTCGTGGTCCGCGCCCGCGCTCGGCCGCGGCGAGCCGGCACCGGAGCTGGACCTGAGCCAGCCCCTGGAGCAGCTGCTCGAGTCGTCGAAGCGGCGGGCCGAGGCGTCCCAGCTCGACGCCTGGCTCGAGCGCCGCGGTCTAGGCAAGTACCGCGCGGCCATCGCGGAGCTCGGCGCGCGCAAGGTGTCGGACCTCGCGCACCTCGAGCAGGGCGACCTCGACGACATGGGCATGACGCCCTACGAGCGCGCGGACGTGCGCATCTCCGTCGGGTGATTAAAAGTGGGCTCTTAAAAGTTCGCGTCGTCCGTCGCGCCCGGCGGCGCGAGCGTCGCGTAGAAGACGGGGCGGTCGATTTGTCCCGCGTTCGGCCGGCCCCGGTGGACCATGTCGTAGCCGAAGAGGACGACGTCGCCGCGTTTCAGGGTCGGCGCGACCTTGACGTAGGTGTCGTCCCAGTCGAGCGTCGGCGCGCGCGTCGCCGCGTGCGCGTCGTCGTGACTGCCGAGAGCGAACTCCGTCGGGCCGAGCGCCGCGTCGACGTCGCAGAGTGGAATGAAGATGTTCCAGAAATCCGCCTGGTTCCCGTCGCCGTGCCAGAGCTGCGCGTCGCTCCCCGGCCGCGAGACGACGACGCCCACCGTCGCGGGGGGCCTGGGCCCGCCGCCGGGGAGCAGGTCCTCGGCGAGCGCGGCGACGGCACCCGCGAGGCGCCGCCACGCGCCGTCGCCGTCCGTCTTCGGGTCGTCGAGGCGCAGGTCGAAGCGCCGGTCCGCGCGCCGCACGAGCAGCCGCGTCGCGAAGCCGTCCGCGTCGACGTCCGCGCCCGCGGCCTCGGCGTCGAGCAGCGCGGAGACGCGCGCCGCGGCGCCGCCGTCGACGTCGACGACGGGCGGCGCGCCGGGGAGCAGCGACGACAGCACGACGACCCCGTGCTCCCGGAGCACGCGCCGCGCCTCGGCGCGCTGGGCGGGCGTCGGCGGCGACGAGCACGCGACGACGACGGCGCGCGCGGGGTCCTCACCTAGCGCGCTTCTCGCGAACGCGGCATCCGCGGCCCGTCGCCGTCGTTCCAGCGCGCCGTCGCCGGCGGCCCGGAAGACGCAGGGCCGGCCCTCGCGCCGCAGCCGCCGCCGCACGCGGCGCAGCTGCGCCACGCGGCCGAGGTCGCGCGCGCTCGCGAACGGCGCGCCGTCGTCGACGGCGCCGTCGTCGACGCCGACGAAGCCGACGACGAGGACGCGCGTGCCCCGCGTCGTTCGGCGCCCGCGGTGCAGCAGCTGACCGGGGTGGAGCACGCCGTCGCCCGCGTCCGCGGCGTCCATAACGTCGTCGTCGCCGCCGTCGTCGAAGACCGTCGCGCCGCCGTCGAAGGCCGCGGCGTCCGAGAGGAGCACGTTGAACGACAGGAGCGACGAGTCGCGGTGCGGCGAGAGCCGGTCCGCGCCCGCGCCGTCCGGCGCGGCGTCGTAGCGCGCGACGAAGCAGTCCTCGAGGGACAGCGCGGCCTCGTCCAAACCGTAGGCCGCCGCGAGCGCCGGCCGCAGGCGCCGCGCCCAGATCGCGTCGTCGAAGTCGTCGCAGACGACCTCCACGGGCACGTCGCGCGTGGGGAAGGACACGTGCCGGTCCGTTTCCCAGGCGCCCAGGGGCAGCGCCAGCGCGCGCCGCTCGAGGTCGAGCGCGTCCTGCCTCGGGATGAGCTCACCGACGCGGTGGTAGACGCCGAGGCGCCCGGGAAAGACGTGGTGAGACGAGAGGATGCGGATGGCATTGCAGGCGGTCGATAGGAGCAGACATTGCAGCATCTTTGAGCCCGACATGAGCTCCGAAGGGCTAGCTCATCGCGACAGGGTTCATTGTGACTTAGCACTTCTTCAACATGCAGGGTAAGCTAGACGACCTCCTTGGCCGGCGCCTCCGGACTTGCCTCCGGGGCGCCGACGGCCGCGCCGACGCTCGGGCGGGCCAGCTCGACGTCCTTGGCGCGGACCTCCAAAGGGGGCCTCCGGCCGTAGAACTCGAAGAGGAAGTCCGCGAGCATGACGGCCGCGGCCACCAACACGATGTCCATGGCGTGGACGGCGTCCGGGAGCCAGACGAGGCCGGCGATGATGCCGGCGCCCGCCAAGCGCACGGCGATGCGGAGCTCGCCGCGGACGCGGCGGCGCGCCGCGCCGCGGCCCAGGTGCGTCATCTGGATGGCCGCGAGGGTGACGAGCGTCGCGGCGAGGAAGCCGCAAAATAATCGCCGCTCCCGCGGCCGCCAGTCGTTGCCGCGGTCGCCGGACGCGAGGTGGAGCGACGCGCCGACGCCCGCGATGCCCGTCCAGAGGGGCAGGTGGAGCAGGCCGAAGGCCGTCCCGCGGAGCACGCCCGCGCGGAGCGCGTGCTCGCCGATGTGGCCCTGGAGCTCGAAGTACATGAGCTTTAGCAGCAGGCCGCAGAGCATCGCGGCGACGGCCGTCGCGGTGAGGCGCTCGCTGCCCGCCGCGCGCCCGAGGATCGCGCTCGCGGCGTTGATGGCCTCGCCGCAGGTGACGATCACGAGCAGGCCGTCCCGCTCGGAGACGAAGGAGACGTTCAGCGGCAGGAGGACCCACGCCGAGGGCGCGCCCTTGCGCAGGACGGCCCGAACGACGTGGACGAGCGCGTGGCCCATGAAGAAGAAGGGCGCGCAGACCCCCCAGGCGACGTAGATCCCCGACGTCGCGTCCCAGTCGAGGCCCCAGGGCGCGAGCGCCGCGGCGAAGGCGAGGGAGACGACGCCGGACGCGCCCGACGCGACGCTCAGGTTCAGCGCGTTCGAGGTCCGCGTGTACCGGAGGATGACGAGGCCCTGGACGAGCCCGACGACGTTGTAGCACGCGTAGGAGGCGAAGACGTTGTGGAGCCGCTCGGCGCCGAGGCCCGCCTCCGCGCCGATCGCCAAGACGCAGCACGCGCGGACGAACAAGCTCAGGACCATCGTGAGGTCCTTCGATTTCACGGTGGCGTTCTGCACCGTCGCCTTGACGAAGCAGCTCGTGATCATGCCCGTCACGAGGCCTACCAAGCACGTCGGTAACGATTTTTCATCGTTTTCCCACCCCAAATCTCTCGAAAATCGTCACGGCCGCAGGACGCTGCACGAGGCAAAAGTGCGCGATGCTCGCGCCGAAGGGCATTGTCGCGCCCGCGTGTCCCGACAGGAGCCGGTGGTGGTCGTCGTCGTGGCCGCCGTGGTCGTCGTGGCCGCCGTCGTCGTGGTGGCCGCCGTCGTCGTGCGCCCCGTGGTGCTGCCAGAAGTCGAGCGACGTCGACGCGGAGGCGATCGCCGCGACGAGGGACAGGTCGAAGAAGAGCTCGTCCCAGGTCACGGCGTGCTCGATCTCGCCGTGGGCCCGCTTGTGCTCCCACGTCTGCAGGATCCGCGGCGCCTCCCAGAACATTGTCAAGCACTCCTCCGACTCGCGAGCCTCCGACTCGCGAGCCTCCGACTGGCGCTTCGATTCCGACTCGCGGACCTCGTCGGCCATGGTTTCTGGACCCGAACGACGATGTCGAATCGGCTGGCCCAGGTCGAGTCCAGGCGGGCTGCCCACATTGAACCATCGTTGAACATCAAGTTGCACCTCTAAGGCAGCATGATCATGCGTGGCTCTCGCAGCATGCGAGCTCTCGCCCTAGCCATGGCGCTGCGCCACGCAAAAGCCTTGGCGCCAGCCGCGCCGCTCGGCGCGACGTCGCGCGGCGCCGCGCTGCGCGCGACGGTCGAGACAGCAACGACCGCAGCACCTCCGAAGATGGACCTCGTCGCGAAGACGCGCGCCTTCCTCGAGAGCGGCACGGGCTTCTACAGCGCGCCCGACGCGTCCATGCTCGCGCCCGACTTCATCTTCCGCGGCGGCGTCGTGGGACCGTTAAACAAGGCCGACTACCTCGACACGATGGAGAAGCTCGGCGTCTACCGCGCGTTCGACCTCGACGCGAACGCCTACGGCTTCGTCGAGGACCCGCGCGACCCCCGCTGCGTGCGCTTCTTCCTGCGCAACACGGGCGAGCACGTCGACGCGTGGCAGCCCTGGGGCAACGTCCCGCCGCTGCCGATCAGGCCCGCGGCCGGGCGCACGGCGGTCCGCGGGCCGACGGAGACGGGCCGCCTCGTCTTCGACGACGACGGCAGGGTCCGCCACTTCGCGACGGGCCTCGTCGTCGGGAAATGCGAGCCGGCGCGGGGGGACTGCAACACGAGCGGCCTCGGCGCGGTCCTCGGGCTCTTCCACGCCGTGGGCTTCGGCTGGGTCGGCAATCTCGCGCTGATCAGCGGCTTCCGGAAGCTCGCGAACGTCCTCGCGGCGTCGCTGGACCCGAGCGTGCCCAAGACGAAGTCCGAGGCGGACGTCGTCCCCGCGTGGTGGATCGAGTAACTTAATGGAAAGGACCTTCAACATATATCGCTTGAAGTCTTCCTGAAGCAGAAGACTTCATTATGATGTGGATTCTGCTCCTCGGGGCAGCACCGCGCGTGGCGACGGCCTGGCAGACGACGTGGATGGGCGGCAACGCGGCGGTCCTCAACTCTATGATGTGGATTCTGGGGGCGGTGCTGCCATGGACGGCGACGGCCTGGCAGGCCAACTGGATGGGCGGCAACGCGGCGGTCCTCGGGGGATCGACGCTGCTGGACCTGTCGCTGCCCGGCACGCACGACGCCTTGACCTACGACCTGTCGACGACGGTGAGCGAGGCGGGCATCGACGACCACCCGGCCCTGGCGGCGGTGCTCCACGCGGCGTCGGCCGCCGGGGTCGTGCCGGAGGCCGTGGGCGCTTTCGTCCGGGGCCAGGCCCAGACCCAGGCCCTGAACGTGTCCGCGCAGCTCGACGCGGGCGTCCGCTTCGTCGACTTCCGGGTCATGTACACGAGCGGCGACTGGTACGGGCTCCACCTGCTGCAGACGCGGCGACCGGCGGCGGCCTACCTGAGCGAGCTCCGGGCCTGGGTCGACGCGCACCCCACGGAGGTCGTCGCGATCTGGCTGTCGCGGCACGGCTCGACGTCCGCCGTCGGCGACGACCAGTTCCCCGGCGTCGACGTCGCCGCGAAGCGGGCCCTCTGGGCTTCGGTGCTCCGAATCTTCGACGGCGTCCTCGTCGACGTCGGCGGCCGCAATCCGCTCAACGCCACGACCCTCGCGGAGCTCGTCGCGTCGAACGCGCGCGTCGTCGTCTTCGCGAGCGACCACGAGGAGCTCACGGGCAACTCGACATTCGCCGTCGACGCGCGCGCGCGGCTCGAGAACCCGCTCCCCTTCTCGCCCGTCTACGCCAAGGACCTCGCGCGCGACGCCGCGGTCTTCGCGAGCACGCGCGCGGCCGCGGAGGCCGCGAAGCGCCGCGACGCGTTCCTGCTCTACTCCATGGCCAACGCGCCCCCGGACGCGGCCATCGAAGGCGCGGCGCGCGGCGCCTTCGAGGCCGGCGCCGGCGTCGCCGACTGCGCCGCCGCCTACCACGTGCCCAACGCGACGGCGTGGTGCCCTCGGACGCTCCTCGACGTCGGCCAGCTCGCGAACTTCTACGGGCAGACGGCCGTCGAGGCCGCCTACGCCGACGGCCGCGGCTTCCCGCACGCCTTCTACGTCGACGCCTACGACGCGCGCGGCGGCCTCCGCACGGGGACCCGCGTCCTCTCGCGCGATGGCGACGACGCGCCGATCTGCGACGTCTTCGCCTGGACCCACTGCGCCTCCGCCCACCCGGGCTGCGACGGAGCCTACTCGCCGGGCGCCGCGACCGCCCACTGGGGCGCCCACGACAGCGACGGCGCGAGCCGCGCCGCCTGCGCTTTGCCCCGGCGGGACCGCTTCCAGTGCTGCCGCGACGCGGACGGCGACCGCGCGCGAGACGCGTACCCGTTCGTCGCGACCGTCGTCGCCTACAACGTGCGGACCGCCTGCGCCGGCGACGCCGGCAACCCCGCCTGCGCCGGCCTCCTCGCCGCCGCCGAGGCCCGCCGCGGAGCCGATCCGCGCCGGGTCTGGGAGGACCCGGCGACCGCGCGCCTCGCGCGCTGGCCCCCACAGTAAAGCCGAGGGAAAATTATTATTATTATTGGTGATTTAGCGTCGGAGGGGCCGCATGCCCAAGAGCACACACGGCCTGTAGGCCTCGGACGGAAGAAGTTGAAGTAGGTGGGGCAGCTGCCCCCCAGCAGGGGCCGAAGGCCCACGGGGGGAGGATCGGCCTCCCCGGCGCCACAAGTGGCGAAGCCCCGAAGGGCGAGAAAAAGGGGGGGGGGGGGGGAGAGCCCGAGAGGCAAGGGAAGGGGGAGGGGGAGGTGGCCGGAATTAGAGCTCCGAGGAGGGCAGGAGCGACGCGATGACGGCCTCGCACTTCGCGCGGCCGTCGGCGTCGCGGCCGCGGCACGCGGCCTCGCGCTCGTCGCGGAGGAAGTCGTCGAGGGGCACGGCGTAGGACGACGCCCAGTCGCGGTCGAAGGCGCTCTGGAGCGATGCCGTGAAGGCCGCGTCGCCCGTGTTGAAGGACGCGCCGGCCGTCTCGTACATGTAGCCCCACTGCCAGTTGGACGTGCCGACGTTCGCGCGCCGATCCGTGACGACGACCTTGCCGTGGGCGACGCGCGTGTAGGCCGGGTAGGTGCCGTTGAGGCCCGGGCCGTACTTGGACGGGTAGGACGCCAGCGCGTCCCAGCCCGGCAGCGCGAAGAGCTTGACTTCCAACGTGCCGTTGCACGCGCTGTACTGGAACGCGCACGACCGCGCCGTGCGCCGGAGGCCCGCGAGGTAGGACAGCGACGCCGCGTCCGTGTTGGGCCACCAGGAGACGAGCAGCTTCGCGTCGACGCCGCGGGCGAAGACGGCCCGCGCCAGCGCGTCGGAGATGGCGGGCCACGAGAAGACGACGCCTTTGGCCTCGCCTCGCTGCGCGTAGGCCGACGCGGGCGAAAAGTCCATGACCGCGAGCGACGCCGATGTCGCGGCGTCGTCGATGGTCGCCACGATGGCCGCTTCGTCGGTCATGCGGCCCGCGTCGCCGACGACCTCCGGAGGGGCGGCGGCGACGAAGACGTCCGGGAACCCCGACCTCTCGATGGGCCGCGTCAGGTTCCAGGGCGTGCCGAAGCGCGCGAGCGGGTCCGCCGCGCGCTCGCTTTCGGCCACGAGGGCGCTCCAGGCCGGCACGCGGCGGTCGTGGGCCACGCGCGGGTCGCGCGCGAGCCGCGTGTCGTTCTTCAGCGCCGCCATGGCCCAGAAGCCCTCGAAGAGCGCGCCGAGATCCTCGCCGACGGCGCCGTCCTCGACCAGCACGCCGAACTCCTTGACCTGCGCCAGCGACGCCCAGTCGAGGTTCGCGCTCCCGACGTAGGCCGACGCGCCGTCCGCGACCCAGAGCTTCATGTGCATGATGCCTGGGCAGGAAAAAGGTGCGAAATTCTCAATTTCAAAGGCTCCTTTCTCGGCCGATTTTCACTCGTTTCGGCTGATTTTTGGACGAGCGATCATCTCTCGGAGCGCTCTCGAAGCGTGGATGCTTTTTCTAGAACGCGCGCGCGCGAAACACTCACATTGAAGCGACGTTGAATCACCCTTTTCCTGCCCCGCATGATGCCGCCGCCGTACCACGCGTCCGGGTCCCACTCGGCGTACGCGAATTTCGCCGGCGTCGCCCGCAGCGCGCGCACGAGGGAGCAGTTCGCCGTGCCGCCCATGGGCGACGCGAGCACGCGCACGGCGACGCCGCGCCGCTGGGCCGCGACGACGGCCTCGAACACGAGCCGTCCGCGGTCGACGCCGAGCGCCGTGAGGTCGCGCGAGAACGAGGACGCGTGGGGCGCGTCCGACTCCGCGAGCAGGTTCTCGTACATGAACGTGACGTCGAGCGTCTTCTTCGCCCCGTTGGCCAGGGCCACCTGGGCCTCCCAGGTGTTGACGGCGCCGGGCGTGAGCTGGATCTCGTCGAGGTCCAGCAGCGGGATCGTCTCCACCAAAGTCATCTTCGACGCCGCCGCGAGCGGGACGAGGAGCAGGAGGCGGACGGCCATCATCGATGTAATATGGCGCAGTTCGATCGAACTCCGCCCGTCTCGCTTGTTGTGGCAATCAATCAAAATTAGCGACTGCGACAATCGAGGTAAACTCGGTTTACTTGAAGGGGGAGGGGGGAAGTATGCCCGGATCTCAGAGCACGAGGCCCTTGAGGCCGTGGGGCGTCGTCGGCGGCGCCTTCTGGGCGCGGTCGCGGGCCTCGGCGATGGCCATGAGCTCGTCGGAGATCGCGCGGACCTCCGCGAGCTCGGCCTGGACGCGCGCGCACTTGGCGTCCGCGGCGACCGCGCGCGTGCTCGCGAGGTTCGCGGCGGCCTGGGCGTCCGTGGCCCGCGACTCCGCGTCGCGGGCCGCCTTGCGCGCGGCGTCGAGGGCCGTCTTGTGGGCCCCGCGCTCCGCGGCGGCGCGCGCGTCCGCGGCGGCGTCCGCGTCCGCGCGGATCTTCGCGGCCGCGGCGGCCGCGGCGCGCTCGGTTTCGGCCGCGGCGCGCGCGACCGACGCCTCGGCGGCCGCCGCGCGGCCGTCGGCGGCGTCGCGCGCGCGCTCCGCGGCGCCGAGCTCGTCGCGGAGCCGCGCGTACTCGGCCTTGGCCTCGGCGAACTGCGCCTTGGCCTTGTCGACGACGGCGTCGCGCGCGGCGTCGACGTCCGCGGCGCGGCGCACGCGCTCGCGGTCCAGGGCACCGAGGGCCTCGTCGCGCGCCGCGTGCGCGGCGGCGGCCGCCGCGAGGCGGCCGCTCGCGGCGCGCGCGGCCTCGGCGGCCGCGCGGCGCGCGTGCGCGTCGCGGTCGCGCCGGGCCGCGGCGAGCTCGGCGGCGAGGCCCGCGGCGTCGTCGCCCGCCGGCGGCGCGGCGGCGTCGCGCGCGGCGACGGTCTCGCGCCGGAGCGCGCCGACCTCGGCCTCGAGCGCGGCGAACGCGGCGTCGCGGCCCCGGAGCGACGCGCGGAGCGCGTCGACCTCGGCGCCG